CGCACTGGAAAACAACAAGGCACACGGGGGAATATCCTGGCGATACAAAATACAAAAGAGCTCTACCGAGCTATATTAACCTCCACAATAAACAATCACACACAAAGACAAGGGGGCAGAGGGAACACTTATACAGGTACTGATGAGGGGATATGAACCAGGTGTGTGTAATAAACAAGACAAATCAAATGGAATGATGAGATGAGATGAGGAGCGGCAGTGGCTAGAAGGCCAGTGACGACGAACGCCGAAGCCTTCCCAAACAAGGAGAAGCGGCAGCTTCAGAGGAAGTTGTGACACCCCCACACCCAACACACACAGGCACACAATACAGTTTTTAAATTATTGTTGCAATGATGCTCTTATTTGGTTACATATGTGTTAACTGTTGTTACTTATATAGTCAATTCTGTTGTTGAATTCGTTTTTTATGTTGTTACCACTTTGATTAAATGTATTTTATCTACAAATGTATTGTTTTTCTTACATTTAGATTTCAGGGAGAATATCAGTGTGCATTTACAGCAGTATCCTGGCACCAGAATTGCAAGCTTAATACTGTAATTTTGCTTTGCAGCAGAGATGCTGTAATATATTTCACAGTACTATTTTCCTTACTGTAAAACATTACATCATCCCTGTAAATTTACAGCAGGGATGCTGTAATATGTTTTACAATAAGGAAAATAGTACTGTAAATTATATTACACTCTGCTGTAAGCAAAATTACAGTATTAAGCTGGCAACTTTGGTGCCAGTATAATGCTGTAAATTTACAGGGGAAAGTTTTACTCAAAGCTATTATCTGTGAATATATTAAAATATTCCGCAAATAAAACAATAATCCGTAAATATGTTTGTTTTAAATTACATCATAAATACATCATAAATATATGATCTGTAAATGTATTCAACCAGTGGCGGCTCCTGAAAAAATTCTCAGGAGGGGCAATTTTTCTGATGATTTAGGTGACCTACACACATTTAAAAAAAGATATGTCCAGCAACAACATGAAGACAGGGGCAGCATATAAGTCAATACCAGAAGCATTTATTGACTGATCTGGGGAGATGGATTCCAGTTTCTGTGACAGATTATAAATAATCTCTGATGCCTTTGTTATATTAGCTTTTGGTTGAATGTACTGTCGTAGTAAATATATAATGTTATAGCTTGGTCTGACTAAAATCTTGTGCATGACCCATTTTGTGTTGGGCGTTTGTTTTCAATCAATGCTGTTCCTATCCTATAACAATGGACAAAAGAGTCCTATCTTGTCAGCCTTGTCAGCAGGTGGCCAAGGACAACACCCACGCCATAGGTCTCTCAGTTCTTCCAACTCACGAGTTCTTGCTCTGAGGACACACACACACACACACACACACACACACATCATCACTGATAACACACACACACACACACATCATCACTGTTAAACACACACACACACACACACAAAAATCCCCTCTCTTTAGGCTGAACATTTGAAGACAGAGAACCCGACTCAGAGCCAATGCAACAGTGGAGGGGACCTCGCCCAACTCATCAGGACCAATCAGAAGATCAGAACTACTAGATTCAACCTACATCATTTATTGTATAAAATGTCTGCACAATGTTTTCGGGGCTCTCTTCAGATAGCTCCCTAAGAGTTTGACGAACGGGTCCGTGCACGCGATTCCAGATATCTTTACCTCTGAATAAACTGCCTTTATTATACCATATCCACCCTGTCCAAAGTCTCTACTTGGTCTCAGTTCTCCAGTAAACGTGTGATTATCAACAGTACACAACGGTAACAAACAATTGGGGGAACTCACGGGGCAGATAGTAAGGTCGCAGTGACACAGAAAGCAGTTCAATGTCGGGGTACAGAGTCGCTCTCTTACCAGGATCGCAGTCCGCTCTGACCAGGGTGAAGCCGGCCGGCTCCACTTCTCTGTCCGGGACTCATCCAGCCAAGTCTCCCAGCTGTATTGGGATTCCGCTGCCAGCAGCGTTTTCATTATTTAGTCCGTTCGTAGCGGGTATGTACACGATCAACAAGATCAGTCCAAAACCAACCACTGGAAATCCATGGTTGGCAGAATGTTTGTAAACTAAGTCTACAAATTAAAAACATAAAATAAAGCCACACTGCAGGTCGCAACAGAGACGCTGCTAGCCGCCATTTTCTTAGTTACGTTCATGGTTACGTCACGTATGACGAAAGCGCGTAAGTGCAAGCCCACAGACACCCATAGAGAATGTATTGAAAGCTTTGAAATTTGAAAAAAATAGATTTTACATGACAGGCTATGAGAGACTTCTGGGCGATTTTCAACTTGACTGAAATCGCCCCAAAAACGGGCGGGGCCATTTGAAGCACGACTTTAGCCTGATTTGACATTTAGTGGCAGTCAGATCAGATTACAACACTGATAACTACTGTTGCCGTGATATAATTGATTAGAAAAAAATCCCTTCCTTTTCCCGTTTGGCAGTGCTTCGCCCATATCGCCCTATTGAACAGGCCGTCCCTGTATTCAACATAGCTCACAAATAAAACTACAATTTGAACAAATGTAGAACGATTTGTGAGAACATTTTCAGAAATCCGTAACATTTAAAACTGTGGAATGTGCATTTCAAAATGTGCTTGTGGATCTGTATTCAGTGCTTACAGAATTTGTATACATTTCTTCCGCCTGTCCATGTATTACATTCCACAAATGTGGATTCATTGGGATAATCTTTGTCACGTGACGAGCAGTGATGAAATCACATCACGACTGTGTCCTTCTTATCCTTCTTATCTAGAAGAAAGAACAGCTTCATGAAATGTGAGTATAACGTATATTTATTCAACAAATTATGTAAAAATGTTCAACAAATGACTTTCGTATGAATATTACATTTGACCATTGGTGCATGCAATGCCGAGTGTGTGTACCGATAGCTAGCAGGCGATCTCGTCACCGGTTTAGACAAACCACCAAAGATAAACTTACTACCAGTGGTTGAAAATGTACCCACTTGTCATACTTGAGTAAAAGTAAAGATACCTTAATAGAAAATGAGTCAAGTAAAAGTGAAAGTCATCCAGTAAAATACTACTTGAGTAAAAGTCTAAAAGTATTTGGTTTTAAATATACTTAAGTATCAAAAGTAAATGTAATTGCTAAAATATACATAAGTATCAAAAGTAAAAGTATAAATCATTTCAAATTCCTTCTATTAACAAACGGCACCATTTTTATTTTTTATTTATTTTTATTTACAGAAAGCGAGGGGCATACTCCAACACTCAGACATCATTTACAAACGAAGCCTTTGTTTTTAATGAGTCTATCAGATCAGAGGCAGTAGAGACGACCAGGGATGTTCTTTTGATAAGTGTGTGAATTGGACCATTTTCCTGTGCTGCTAAGAATTCAAAATGTAACGAGTACTTTTGGGTGTCAGGGAAAATGTATGGAGTAAAAGGTACATTATTTTCTTTAGAAAGTAAAAGTTGTCAAAAATATAAATAGTAAAGTAAAGTACAGATATCCCAAAACACTACTTAAGTAGTACTTTCAAGTATTTTTACAAAAGTACTTTACACCACCGCTTACTAGTTCATTGTTAATTCAGGAATGTGTCAATTATGAAGAACTGCTCAGTAAAACAAAATCTTGTATTGGTGATCTGGCTAGCAAGCTAAACTGAAATGTTGCAAATCATATTTTTCAATCTGTTTTCTTTCAGGGACTTAACAGGGCAATTGATGCTTTGGCTGGTCAAATCACTCTTTCCCGACTGGTGTGGAGGTATTAAGAAATTGTAACATTATCTGATAAAAAATGTTAGAAATTCAGCTACTGTTTTCTGCTCCATGTAGGCTTGCTTGCTAACTGGCCAAGTAATTTGTTGTGCATCCTTAGATACATTTATTAAAATGTTGTTTCCTAGTCAACACATGCATTCCGTGTCTGAGTACTGTCAGTTCAATACCTCTCTGTATTGTGTTGCATCATTGAGTTGAGGGGCTGTTCAATAAAAGGCCATTTGTCCTGCCAAAGCATCCATTGCCCTGTTTAATCCCTGAAAGAAAACAGATTTAAAAATATTATTTTCAACATTTCTCATTAGCTTGCTAGCTAGAGCACCAATTCAGGATTTTAAAACTGAGTGGTTCTTCATAATTGACACATTAACTTTGGTTGTTCATCTAAACAGCTGCCGAGATCGCCTGCTAGCTATTGGTAACGTTAGTGTAAAATGTTAGCTAGTTAGCTAGCTAGCTAGCTTGGCTAGTGGGCTGATGTCGAAAGAAATGTAACATTCATATGAAAGTCACTTGTTGAACATTTTAACATCATTTGTTGAATAAATAAATCTTATACTCACATTTCATGAAGTTGTTCTTTCTCCTTCTATCTAGAAAGTGTTCTCCTCAGAAGGACATTGTCGGGTGTGATGTCATCACTGCTCATCACAAAGATTATCCCAATGAATGGAGATAGCTGACTCATCTGAAGCCACATTTCTGGATTGGAATACATCGACAGATGAAAAAAATGTCAACAAATTCTGTAAACACAGAATACAGATCCACAAGCACTTTTTGAATGTGCAAATGCACATTCCACAGTTGTAAATGTTAGGGATTTCTGAACATTTGCACACAAATCATTCTACATTTGTTAAAATGTGTTTTATTTGTGAGCTATGTTGAATATATTTTACAGATCATATATTTGTTTTTGATTTATGGTGAATATTTGTGAAATATTTATACATATTCCCGGATTATGGTTTAATTTGTGATTATTATTATTATTATTATTTTTTTTACATATTTCAGGACTATAGTTTTATTTCTGAAATATTGTAATATATTCACACATCATAGTTTTATTTGTGAGTTATGTTGACTAAACGCACGGATCGTGGTAGACACATTTACAGAATAAAGAAACAAATCTCACTCCATACGCAAATGGCAAGAAACGGACAGTTCGCGCAGGCGCGTTTCATTGTTTTGACTGAAAATGCCGTCGGTTTCGAAAACGGCGGCGAACGCTTCTCCTCAAACGGAGAAACCAACCCACTATACGTAAGTAAAGCAAACGTTAAAGGGACAAAAACACGTATTCGTTAAAATACCGGCCTTCTTTTATGTACAGAAAATTGTTTTATAGTTGGACTGCTTGATATTTCTTCACTCGTAGTGCAGTAAAACATGGTGCTTTTCCGTTTGTAAATTCTTCCCAATGCACGCAGCCAGCCTAGCGTTAACTTGCTAGCTCTCCACTAGCTACATATTCAAATTGATACAGTAACTTAATTTTAACACATTATTTTGTTAATTGTATTGTATGACCGTAAAAATGTTAACACATAGAAAGGAGTCGTAACATTAAAAAGCGGAATTCGCAGGAACTTGGTTGGTGGTTAATGTTAGTTAGCCAGTCAGCTTGCTAGCGTGGACTGGGTAACGTTAGCGAAGTTGAATGGCTTGCTAGCCAGCAGTGTTATCCTTTTCCTCTTTCCACCTCGGCCTTATTTGCTGTCTGTCTACGCATCTGTTTTGACGTACGTTCTGGTTGTTTGATCGAGTGCAACGTCGAAAATCTTGCGTGGATTGTATGTGAATAGTTAAAGTAGATAGCTACTAGCTATCACTACTAAGTAGTTTTAGCAGTTCATGAGGGATTGACACTAGCTAGCTATGTAGCTGAATTTTACAATCAAATATTAGTTGTAGATGGTGTAAACGTTTATATCTCATTAACTTTACCTTACATATTGTCTAATTTAAATTTAAAATAGCGAAGCTGTAACGGTACTATCAAAGTTAGATGTGATATTCCCCCCTGAGCTTTGGACTTTGTTTTGGATACTTTTTCACACGGTGTCTGGTGCTGTCTTTCATTAACACGGCCTTTGTCTTTCCATTTTGCAGATATTTGAAGGAGTTCAGGACCGAACAGTGCCCTCTATTCTTGCAACACAAGTGCACACAACATAGACCCTTTACATGTTTTCATTGGCATTTCCTCAACCAGAGGCGAAGACGACCGATTAGAAGAAGAGATGGAACTTTTAACTACAGCCCTGATGTTTATTGCACAAAATATGACGAGACTACAGGCATTTGCCCAGATGGAGAGGAGTAAGTGCGAAGCTGGCATTTTTGTGTGTGAATTATTATAATGTTCTGGTTAAATTGTTGCTACTGTATCATGCTTATAAATATCAATATTGTGTTGTGGCTGTTGTTAATTCCGGTAGAGAATACACTCAATTCACTCACAATTGATTTTGTCTGCCACTTATAACAGTGTTGCTAATATTTTATGGGCGCTGCATTGTTTCAGTAGGAAGTTAGATTCTTGCGAATTCCTGAAGTGAATGATCCTCATTGCACATAATTCAGCTCGCACCACTAGCTTAGTGATGACCTAGCTTGCACATTGTGTTGTTGACTGGTCTATTGTTCCAGCTAATGATCCGCTATGCCACGTATGCCCCTCGAGTGGGACGACAGCCGTTCTCAATAATGCGGACCAACTGAATGATTTAGCCACATTCATTGTCATTTCATGGATGTTTTTTTTTGTAATTCTCGCTGGACACGTCTGTTTTGAGCTGCGGATTGGGGTTGAGCTTCTTCCTCCAGTTTGCAGGAAACGATGAACACACCCCCTGTTTTCTTGCTCGTGATTGAACCGCCTTTGCACATAGCCTTCTCCCATTGGTCGAGCAAGCAATGTTTATCGTTCCTGAGTCCGTTGAAAATGAGGTCGCTTTGAACGAGTTCCTGCTTTGTATTTACATTTTACATTTTAGTCATTTGTATCCTTAATGTTGTTACAAGTAGTTAAACATTGAAGTGTGTGTTTTTTACTACTTGCACTGTATCATTATGTTAATTGAAACCTAAGTAGCATTAATTGATACTTTTCCGTGTGCTTTCATGCGAGTACAATACAAGAGGGACTTCCTAAATCAAATACAATTTTATTTGCCACATGCGCCGAATACAACAGGTGTAGACCTTACAGTGAAATGCTTACTTACAAGCCCTTAACCAAAAATTCAGTTAAGAAAATGAAGTTAAAATAAAAATAAAAAGCAAATAATTAAAGAGCACCGGTAAAATAAAAAACAGTAGGGAGGCTATATACAGGGGGTACCAATACAGAGTCAATGTGCGGGGGCACCGGTTAGTCGAGGTAATATGTACATGTGGGTAGAGTTAAAGTGACTATGCATAAATAATAAACAGAGTAGCAGCAGCCAGGACCTTAATGTGCTTCTTCTTGAGCCACTCCTTTGTGGCCTTGGCCGTGTGCTTTGGGTCATTGTCATGCTGGAATACCCATCCACAACCCATTTTCAATGCCCTGGCTGAGGGAAGGAGGTTCTCACTCAACATTTGACAGTACATGACCCCGTCCATTGTCCATTTGATGCGGTGGAGTTGTCCTGTCCCCTTAGCAGAAAAACACCCCCAAAGCATAATGTTTCCACCTCCATGTTTGACGGTGGGGATGGTGTTCTTGGGGTCATAGGCAGCATTCCTCCTCCTCCAAACACGGCGAGTTGAGTTGATGCCAAAGAGCTCGATTTTGGTCTCATCTGACCACAACACTTTCACCCAGATCTCCTCTGAATCATTCAGATGTTCATTGGCAAACTTCAGACGGGCCTGTATATGTGCTTTCTTGAGCAGGGGGACCTTGCGGGCGCTGCAGGATTTCAGTCCTTCACGGCGTAGTGTGTTACCAATTGTTTTCTTGGTGACTATGGTCCCAGCTGCCTTGAGATCATTGACAAGATCCTCCCGTGTAGTTCTGGGCTGATTCCTCACCGTTCTTATGATCATTGCAACTCCACGAGGTGAGATCTTGCATGGAGCCCCAGGCCGAGGGAGATTGACAGTTATTTTGTGTTTCTTCCATTTGCGAATAATTGCACCAACTGTTGTCACCTTCTTCTTACCAAGCTGCTTGGCGATTGTCTTGAAGCCCATTCCAGCCTTGTGTAGGTCTACAATCTTGTCCCTGACATCCTTGGAGAGCTCTTTGGTCTTGGCCATGGTGGAGAGTTTGGAATCTGATTGATTGATTGCTTCTGTGGACAGGTGTCTTTTATACAGGTAACAAGCTGAGATTAGGAGCACTCCCTTTAAGAGTGTGCTCCTAATCTCAGCTCGTTACCTGTATAAAATACACCTGGGAGCCAGAAATCTTTCTGATTGAGAGGGGGTCAAATACTTATTTCCCTCTTTAAGGAATACCTGGGATAGGATAAAGTAATCCTTCTACCCGCCCCCCTAAAAAAACAAAACATATTGTAAAGTGGTTATCCCACTGGCTATAAGGTGAATGCACCAATTTGTAAGTCGCTCTGGATAAGAGCGTCTGCTAAATGACTGAGACAAAAATAGAGCTTTTTGGTCTAAACTCCACTCGCCGTGTTTAGAGGAAGAAGAAGGATGAGTACAACCCCAAGAACACCATCCCAACCGTGAAGCATGGAGGTGGAAACACACCGGAAAAAAACCAAAAAAAAAAAACCAAACAAAAAAAAACCCCCCCAAAAAAAAAAACCCCCCCCCCCCCAAACCCCCCCCACACAAAACCCAAAAGCATAAAAGGCCAGGGGCCCCCCCCCCCCCCCCCCCCCCCCCCCCCCCCCCCCCCCCCCCCCCCCCCCCGGTTTTTTTACCCCCCCCCCCGGGCCCCCGGGCCCCCCCCCCCCCCCCCCCCCCAAAACGGGGGTTTTTCCCCGGGCCCCCCCCCAAACGGCGCCCCTTTTTTTTTCCAAAAGGGGGCCCCCCCGCCCCCCAAACGGGCCCCCCCCACCCGCCCCCCCTCCCGGGGCCTACCCCCGCCAACCCCCCCCCCCCCCCCCACCCCCCCCCCCAGGGGCCCCCCCCCCCGCGCCCCCCCCCCCCGGGCCGGGGGGGTTTTCCCCCTTTGGGCCCCTTAAAACCCCCCCCCCCGGCCCCATCAACCTCCCCGGCCTTCCCCCGTGGTACCCCTTTTTGGGGTTTTGGGGGGGGGAAAAAACCACCCCCATTCCCAGCCAAAACCGGCATTGGAGGTTTCCCCCATTCTTGGGTCTCCCCCTGCACGTGCTCTGGAACCGTTTTTTTGAAGAGAAGGGGCCCCTGGGATTTTCCAATTTGGTGTTTTCCCCGGCAATGAAAGTCCCCCGGTGGGGCTTAAACCAAAACCCCCACCACGCCGGGCCCAAAAACCCTAGGAGTCTGTTTCTGAGTTTTGGCCACCATCCTTTGTGCCTTGATCTTTTGAGGGGGTGGAGGTCCTTCCTCCCTCCTTGACAAAGGCGGAGGTGCATCCCCGCCTGGGTTGTTTTCCCTCCCGGTCCTCCCAGTCTCCCGATGACGGTTTTCCCGGGACCCTATTTTTTTCCCGGACATACTGCAAAAGCAAATTCTTAACTCCCCCTTTATTCCATTGGTACTCCTACCTGAACTTTTATTTAGACCCCCTCTCTTTTTAATAAAGGAAAACCGCCACATTCAAAAGTGACCAAAACATCAGCCAGGAAGCATAGGAACTGAGAAGTGGTCTGTGGTCACCACCTGCAAAACCAGTCCTTTATTGGGGGTGTCTTGCTAATTGCCTATAATTTCCACCTGTTGTCTATTCCATTTGCACAACAGCATATGAAATGTATTGTCAATCAGTGTTGCTTCCTAAGTGGACAGTTTGATTTCACAGAAGTGTGATTGACTTGGAGTTACATTGTGTTGTTTAAGTGTTCCCTTTATTTTTTTGAGCAGTGTACTTGTACTCCCCACTGTACGTGTGAGTAGGGCTGTTGCAGTGACCGTGTTACCGCCACACCGAATAGAATAGGTCGACTTTTGTACTATGGGGGATAGTAGATTGACATAGGCTAGTGATTTTGCTGTTCGTTAGGCCCTACTCATCTTGTTGGCTGACAAAAAGTAAATGTGGACAGTTCTTCCAATATCTTCAATATGCACCTTGGAATTGGATAAGGACGCACAGTTGCGTCCCGGATGTGTCTGTCTTCACTTGTAGCCTGTGAGAAAGACCCGTTCACGTCACGGAGAGCCATGTGAGTGAGAGGTGCTTCGGATTGCACAGAACACTCCGGGAGAAGGGCACAATGCAGCACTAAGGGCCGCAAAAGGCATGGATTTTTTTTAGGGTGCATTACGGCCACAAAGGGGATGCCGCCGTGAAAATCGAGGCATTATCAAGTGCTTGTCAAATTGTGAATGCGAGGCTATTGGAGTGTGTACAGCCTGTGCAAAAAAACAACGCATAGCTCGCCTTTCAAGCAACTTTTTTTCAACTCATCATTAGTCTCATCATGCAGCCTTACAATGTATTAAAAATCAAAACATATAGCCCAATGTTTGTAGAACTGAAGTTACATTAATAACTCTAAATTAAGCATATAGGAGTACCTATTTCTTTGTTAACTGCTCAACACATAATAGCCGCATGTGCGCACTCCTTCAAATCGTTTGGAGAAAATATTTTTATTTGATTCAGCTTTGTTCAATTCTATTCTTCATACTATAAAATAATATAAAATTATGCCATGGAATTATAAGCAAATCTTGTCTGCTAAATGAACTAGTGTAGCCCACAGCCATTTGGCATAGCCACATCAGGACCTATCATAAGGACAACTCAGAGTATGGTATTGTTTTCTTCTGAAAGGTGTAGACTATATTACATGGATTTATTATACTTTTTAAAATAGCTTGTAGGCTATGTGTGGAAGCCAGGAGATGCTAAATGTGTTTGTTAATTAACGGTCGATTACTGTGAGACCAACAGTTATTTGCTTGACAATCACCGGCTGATGAAATTTTGTGACCGCCACAGCCCTACTTGTGAGTATCGTTACTGGCAGCACTATCAGTTAAAGTGAAAAGATGTTCTTGTTAATATTGTCTGTGTTGGTTGGGCATTTTACAAGTCTCCCTACAAAATTAACAGAATTAAGGGTTCACTGAAAGGAAGAAGGCTATGTAGCTAAAAACCTAGCCTATGTAATAAGACAGGATTTAAGTTCTAGATTGTATCTTGAGAAAGATGCTGTTCAATACTGAGAAGAACAGCTCTTAAACATGATATTCAAGCCACTCCTATAAGTTAGGCCTATTTGTGTCAGAGCACGATAAAGAAATGGAGTAACTTGAAACGTCTCACTCACTAGTTCAATGACAATCCTCAATGGCACAGGTCTGGTTAAAGTGCTTGGGTCAGAGCCACAGTTTAGTGATATCTAGAGGTAGACACTAGCTGCGATGTTAAGTATTTGTGGCAAATGTGTAGCATACTGAATACTTTATCGAGAGGTTTATCATTGAGAGGCTGAGTTTCAGTTTCCTATATCAGTGTATTTGGAATTTCACAGCAGTATCTAAACAATGTTCGTCAATTCAACCAGCTGTCATATTGAAAGTTCTATACAATATTTGAACTCTGCCTGAGAGTGAGCACTTGTACTCTCTATTCCTCATTCTACCAGTGGCTGCTCTCTTCTCTTGACATCACATATGTTGCCATAGTTACTGTTGCTATCCGAGTAAGAAGCTTTTGCTGTATTTGAGAATATTATTAGTTATTTAGCGTTTTCAATGTGAATCTGAGCACATTAATAGCGATGTTGCTATTATTTCTGTTCATTTCCGCACCATACATCAAAGCCTGTCAGAGCGCTGTATCTATAAAAGGCGTTGCATTCCTCTGACTCCCACTGTGGGCATTGGCTAAATTTTAGTTGTTTGTCTGTGCATATTAAGCACCAAGAAGAACGGTTGCCACTAATACAGGGAGGAAGACAAATCTCTCATTATGTTCTGTAACTCATTCCTTTAGCCTCTGTCTGTTTCCTTTCAATTAAAATCTGTGGAATGAATTCTTAGGATAAGCACAGCATAGAATTCTAGAAACATGGTGTAGGAAATGATTTTATGCAGATTGTATCACTGTCATATCAAATCCTGATCATTTTAATGAGGAAGTCTGCATTTGTCTAATCATCGTTTCTGTTCCTGTCTAGCTGTCCTTACTTGCACCGGACCACTGGTGACACAGAGCGCAAGTACCATCTTCGCTATTACAAGACTGGTACCTGTATCCATGAAACCGATGCCCGTGGGCACTGTGTGAAGAACGGCCTACACTGCGCTTTTGCCCATGGCCCACATGATCTCCGCCCCCCTGTCTACGATATCAGGTGATCTATCATGCCTTTAGTAACCACTCTGTTCTCAAGGTATCAAACCTTCAACAAACATGTGAATAGGCTTGTTAAGCCAGTTAGCTGAGTACACAAGGATAAATCATGCATGGTCTGACCATGCACTGACAAAATGTACCAACTGATTCCATTTGGACATCATAGCTTTGGGGAAATTCTTAAATTGACCAGTAGACTATATTTTTGAAGATCGCTATCAACCCCTTCTCTACCATTGTTACTTTGATTTGACATGGTAGGTCTAGCTGTCTCCAGTACATGGTAGGTCTAGCTGTCTCCAGTACCTGCCCATACATGGCAGTGGGAGAATGAAACGTGTTCATCTATTTTCTTAGCTCAATTAGCCTCCCTGATGCCTCTGGAATTGGCTGGGGCTAAGCAGATGAAAGCACAATTTTCTCATCATAGATATCAGTTATAGTGTACTTATTGCCAGGGTTGATGTTGGTTTTGTTGAGTACCAATAGGGAGAAATTCACTGCCTAAAACAGTGCAAACAATGAAAGTGCTGAAAGTATGGTGATTTCTTTAATGAGATGAAAGATTCAGTGGTATATTTGAAGTAATATCCCCACATATCTCAGAGATGGATACAAAAAATAGGCCAATATCTGTATAAGGCAAGCAATGGACTTGCCAATAACAATAACATACATTTGCTCTTTTACTATGAACCATCTGTTCATATTTTAACATTTTAAAATACCTGTCACTAGAAGATAGCAATACCTTGTCTAACGTCCCATGAATGACGTCAAATTAAGGAATGGGAGCTTGAAATAATTCAACAAAAACAACATTAAATGTGGTATCAGACGCACGCTCAAGTGTTGCCTAGCAACTGTTGAGCTGAAAAAGTCTGTAAGAGCAAGGCAGCCTGAATATTCTACATTTGTCTCTTCCTCTTTTTTTGTTTGTTTTGTGTAGTAGCTCTCTGACTGATCTTCTTCATGTGCACAGAGAGATCCAGGCACAGGAAGCCCTCCAGAATGGCCATTTGGGATCTGGAGAGGGTATCCCTGATCTACAGCCTGGGGTACTGGCCAGCCAAGCCATGATAGAGAAGACTCTTACAGAGGACCCCCGGTGGCAGGGTGAGCAGCAGACACATTGATTCTGGTGGTGGTGTTACCTAGTGCCACAACATTTCTATTGATTGGATTTCCTTGACCTGTTGCATTATATTTTGGCATTATGTCAAGAACAGAATGTCTTACAATGAGTATGTTTATATGCACACTAATAATTAGATATTAAACTGATTATGGCAGAAGGCAGAGTATGGCGTTTGTCATGTAAACACCTTACTCTGCTTATCTTAATCGGCGTGAGATCATAATGGTAGTAAGCATATGCCGATTAAAACACCTGGTTTTCTGAGCAATCTTTCAAATTATTAGGACATGTAAATGCCTTAATCAGAATTACAGCGGTGTATTTGATTGCGCTGCTAGCACGAGCAGCGCAAGCTTCCTTCTTTTGTACAAGTGAATTTATGAAAAACTGAAAGTATGCATCTTAGAAATAGTTTTCACATACAAACTTTGAATTCAAAATCAAATAGTTTTCACAAAAATAACATTGTCGCTGTGGTAGAACGTTTATTTTGATTAGGGATTTTTCTGCATTTATCAAAGTCACATCAGGTAGCCTGATTTCAGAAGTGTCCATGTAAACAGGGAAATCATTATTAGGGAAATCGTTATTCTTGAAAAGCATGTAAACGTTTAAATCAAACTATTATATTAATCTGACTATTCACAATAATTGTTTTATTGTGTGCATGTAACCATACTCATTGTGTGCTTTCCTTCCAGACACCAATTTTGTTTTAGCGAACTACAAAACAGAGCAGTGCACCAAGCCTCCACGACTATGCAGACAGGGCTATGCCTGCCCCCACTACCACAATAGTAGAGACAGAAGACGAAATCCACGCAAGTTCAAATACAGGTAGGAGATTGGGACTGTCAAACGATAGAGAGTAAGCCTTTTGACAACTGTAATAATGCTGTAATATGTAGCCTGAGCATTTGTATGTGTTTAAGTTAAACCCTTTGAATGATGTGTCAGGTCAACTCCGTGTCCCAATGTGAAACATGGGGATGAGTGGGGAGAGCCATCAAAGTGTGACAGTGGAGACAGCTGTCAATACTGTCACTCACGCACTGAACAGCAGTTCCACCCAGAGGTAAGTGGGACATTGGACACCTTATAAATGCTTAGCACATTTCGTCTCTTGCAATGGGGAATCTGTCAAACCTTGTTCTGGAAAATGCCACACAGTTATGAGCAGAAAACCTGTCTTTCTCACTTCAGATCTTTTTTCTTTCAGATCTACAAATCCACCAAATGCAATGATATGAGGCAAACTGGTTATTGTCCTAGGGGGCCGTTCTGTGCGTTTGCGCATGTAGAAAGTAAGTGAAGCTCCTCAAAATAAGTCAACGCTGTCTTGCTTGTTGACAACCGTTTAAAGTTAAAACCTCCCGTCTGTGATTGTGTACTTTCAGGAATTCCCTCCACAGAAGAGACCATGAACTCGTTGCTAACAGCGATGCAGTCAGGCTCCCAGGCCAAGCTGGGCTCTCAGCAGTATTCAGAGTGTCCAGTCAGCGAGTGGGGCAGCAGTGCCAACTCCATCAGCAGCAGCAACAACGGCCAAGTGGGGAATGTATGTGATCTGATTACATTTACATTTAAGTCATTTAGCAGACGCTCTTATCCAGAGCGATTACTACTCCCTCTGCTTCTCTCAACAGCCTTTTACAAAGGCATCTGTTTGTATGAAAAACATGCTGTCAATAGATTAGATACAATTATAGATTAGACCCTGACTAGATTAGATTAATTATTTTTTGATTTTAACTTTCCTTTTTTTTCACACCTTTGTTTTGTATATTCTTGTCATTTTCTGTTTCCGTTCTTCTGTTTTCTGTACTTGCCTTGTATTTCACTAGTCTGTAACATCATTTTGTTTCTGGTAGTACTAGTGCACCAAGGAATATACAGCGAAATTCAAATGAATATAAGATTCAACAGAAACCAAACCTTAACAATTCAGTGTCATTTTCTCTCTCTGAAGCCAGTATTCAATCTAAACATCTTCAGCTATCATCTGCTCTCTGGCCTCATTAGGAAAGCTGGGCGTGTTTGGCTGGCTTTAAAACCCTATTGTTAAGACCATGTGTACTTCTCTCCCTCAGGTTTCATATTCTAATAGTCCGACTGTAACGCCAAGCTCAGGAAGCAACAGTTCATTGTCCCCAATCGGACCCATCGGCAGGTCCAAATGCTTAACTAATGGTAGCTTATGTTCAGAGTCCACCACGTCAAGTGTGTCATCTCTGACGTCTAACTATCCCAAAGCTCCGGGCTTTGAACGCGAGGATCAGGTACTACAATAAGACTGCTCTCCCTCTCTCTCTTTCCCCATCCTTACGGGAAGACCCCTGCACTCAGCTTAGTGTAGGACCCGCTGCTACACACACTTTGGTCATAGTTTCCATTCATTTGATCCAGAATTTTAATTTATTTGCATGTTAAATTATTTGTCATTCAGTTTTTTTATGTTACGTCATTTTCTATAATTTGTGATGCCTTGTGTGACTTGGTGAATATTGAAATTAACAACCGAGGCAAAATAGAGAATAGTTTACCCATTCCAGGTCAAATTCAATGTTGCACTTAACATTTTATGAACGTAGATTAGACATTATGTTTGGATATGCAACTTGTATTCATGTTATCTATTAGTTACAAAACAAATGTCTGCTTATTTAGTTTTAGAATGTCTTATTAATGTGTTGTGGTCATAACATTAGACATTTTCTCTCTTTGATAGGGCTGCAGATTACTGATTTAACAGAATTTTTTCACTTTTAAGAACGGTGTTGGCTTTCTAAGACATGCCAATTGCTGGGTTTAAGTGTTGGGTCATGTGAATGTGCTGTCTGTTTTCAGATAAAGAACCATAAGGGACATAGTGATCAAAAGATGATGGACCAAGACAAGCAGGTGAATAACTAAAGCATTTGCCACTGCCTTTGTATTCATAGAAGCTAGTGACCGTGTTTCCCCTATATTCAGCTCCAAAAAATATGATTTATGGAGGATAATTTTCGTTTTATGATGACTAAAACCAGATACAGTATGTAGAAAAGATAATGGAGCTATATATATTTTTTAAATAAGATCATCTTTGAGAACTAACAATCACCCAAATAAAAAATGTCATGGCATTTTGATTTTGTTATAATGTTTGAGTCACTCAGACGGCATAAGCCATGGCAAAATGTGTAGAATTGCACGAACTTAGATTTAAAACAGCAATAACTTTGCCGCCTCTGCTGAAAAAATCCTAGGGGAAACACTGCTAGTGATATGTAGAACATTTTATATTTAAAGGTAGAGGCAAAAGGGTTTTGCTGTTATAATTTCAAAGTCATTGGGACCCGTCCAATCGACTATTGATAAAAAAGGCCTATTCATGATCTCCCATCTAAAGCATATGACTAAGCATATGCCCAGGCATGGTATCTGTGCCTTGTCTTAATTCTTAACCGAGCACCAATGTAGTAAAGGTAAGTATTGCTCAACATTGACACTATTGATGAAACAATGCCTTACTATGAACGCCTATTTTACAGACACACACTAGTGTATTCTCTGGGATGAACCCTCTGGCATCCAGCATAACCTCCAGTATAACATCTAGCCTGGCCTCCAGTATTGGCTCGGATAGTTCCTCACCCACCACCTTATCAACAATGAATGCAAAAGCAACCCCATTCTATCCTGGGAGCAATACTGTGGAGTCAGTTATAGGTAAGTGTACTTGTATTGTGCTCACTTGTTTGAGGTGTGAATGTACCTCTTTATACAAGGAATTTCTCTAATAAAAAAAACGACTTGCCTTTTCTTTCAGGTTCTGCTCTTGACCTGAATTTTTGTGACATCAATGTTGCCTCTCTTGATAAAGAGTTTGAGGAGCAAGAAAACAAAAGTCTTGGTTTAAGTAAGCAAACCTTGTTTGAAACATTGAACACAATTGACTTAAGTGTGTTCTGCGTTTTAAATTGCAAAATTGATTTCTGCTTCCTGTTGCCCTCTAGGTCAAAGGATGTTGGGAGGATCCGCTCCGGTCAACATTCCTGGCTCCCTTGCACGGTCCTCTTCATTGAATTCCAACTCATCACTCTCTGCCTCCCCTCTGAGCTCCCTCTCCCAGTCCCTCTCCCAGTGCCTGCTGTCAGGAATGGCTCCCCAGCAGAGTCAGCCTCAGGGCCTGCTAACCAAACCTGAGCATGGCCTTCTAGGAACACCTACCTCCTCTCAGAACACTCTGGGTAAGTTAACAATATAATATTTACTAGCAATCTTGACAAACATGCAAGAGTGAGCATTATTATTTTACCTTTAGAGGCATTATCAACAATTCATAAATTCATCTCTACCATTTTTCTTTGCGCTTTGACATGAAACAATTGTGCTGATCCCACCTTGTAGGTTTGAATGGGGGAGCTAGCAGCATATGGGACTTTGTGAGTGGCAACTTCTCTCCCAGCCCATCACCAGTGTTCAGCAGCCTGGGCTCCACCACTGTGAGCAGCAGCGCTGACCTGAACCGGCTCTTCAGGGAGCTGGACGAGGCCAAGAGGAAGATCAAGCAATGGGAAGACGCCTGGCACCAGGTCAAGCAGGTTAGACACTAGTCCCATGCAAGAACTATGACATGAACTAAAGGCACTGCCTCAGTAAGCAATACATCCTGACCCTTGTTAAACCAATTATATATTTGACATGTCTCTGTCTGTTCCAGGCATGTGAGGCCTGGCAGAAAGACTCCCATGATGCAAAAGAACAAGCAAAGTCGGCCGAGGCGGAGCGGCAGCTGGCGGAGCAGAAGCGAGAGGACACGGAGCGCAAGCTGAAGGAGCTCCAGGGGGACTTTGACGTGCTGTGTCGCTCCCCTGGCACGCCCCTGCTTAGAAGCTATGGAGACCTGGACCAGCTCCCTCTACCAAAGCTCCACTCCATCCAGAGCCAGCTGCGCACTGACCTAGACCTTATAGACGGGGTAAGAAGGGCCAGATACTAAACACATTCTTATTTATAGTGATCAGGATATAAATTATGGCAGACTATTTAGCCCAGTGAAGTATGTTTTTTTTTTTCTTAAGATCTTGCATGGAATCATTGTATTGAGTTATTTCTGATACAACCTCTTCTCTTCCCAACACAGGTAATATATCAGCTTCAGTCAAAGAAATGTATAGTTTGCCAAACGCATGATCGTTGCATAGTCCTGCAGCCTTGCCAACATTATGTACTTTGTAAGAACTGTGCACCTAGTAAATCAGAATGTCCATACTGTAAGACAAAAATATTGAAGTGGTGATGTACTATTATTCAAGGTACTACTTAAGGAATTTGCCCTTTGAAGAACTACTAATACATATAGTATGCTTACATTTTCTAAATAGCATTGTGTTTCAGTATGTCATATAGTAATTGAATTAATAGTTTAATTTGAACTACATCAATGGTGTTTGATAAATCAAGTACTTAAATGTAATATGTTATTTTGTATTGTAATGGATCACTTACATTTTCAAAAAAGTTTGGGTATCCATCGTTCAAGTGGGCCTAATTTGACTTTTCATCACTAAAACACATCAGTCAAACATTATTATTATGACCATCTTTGTGAAGAATATTGATTTCTTGTAAAGCACTTTGTTGACCTGGGAATTTGTTAAAGGGTATTTTAGAAAGTAGCTTTGAGCTGTTTTTGTAGGTTTTTGTTTCTTAGATTATATATATATTTTTTCTTAATATGCTAATGTTACGAGCTTTTGTGTGTACTGTGAAACATACTAGAATATTTCATGTTTCCTATTTTTAAATCATGGTATAGTTCTATATATCTTGTTAGTTTTCATAGAAAAGTACTAAACAATAGTTTCTACTTTTCATTGTTTAATTTACATTTTTCCATCAGATAAGTGCACACATTTGAATGCATTTTAGGCATAACCAGCAGCTGTAATATCAGTAAGGCACATTTATGCTAAAGTAGTTAGGAAATCAATTAGTCTGTCTTTTAGTGATTACTGAATTGTTCATTATGTAGTTATTAGAGGAGCATGTCTTGATGTACAGAAGTCTGACATGGTGAATTTTATAGGATTCCTACTAGCCTCTCAAACATGTCTAGAACATATCCGAAACTTGGCCTCTAGTCTCAAGTGCCTTGCCTTAGATGATAACCATGAGCATCGATATTTAGAGGATTGTTGTAAAAGCAGACACAGGTAGACAAAGCTTCTGCACACATTTCTGCAAATATGTCTACTTTATTTTTTACTTTGCATTATATGTATATGCCGTAGTGTACCGCCCCAATCCTATGTCAAAGTATTTCCTCAGATTATAGTTGTATGAAGATATAAATCTTGTCAGTGCCTGTGTCCTGACTTCACGCTTACAACAAAGCTAAAGAAATATATATTTTCCTTGTCTTAACAGGCAATGGTGCTTCAGTATAATTTCAAATGACCATCTTTGATTTAATGTTTGGGAGTATGCAAGCAAGGAAACAACTCTGGTCTTGTTTGTAAACAAGATAAAAACAGGCTCTGCTATACATTTTAGACTCGTGTTTGTTGTAAGAAATGCATAATTCTGTAGTGTTTACAGAAGACATCGGTGTTGAACCTGTAAATTGTGTTTTCAAATACGACAGTGTAATGTGCTTAGCTAGGTTAATCTAATTGAAATGACCTTCTACTGTGTTCAAAATATGTATTTTTCCTCGCTCTATCTTGGTCCTTTAATATTTACAGCAATTAGTATGTTAAGTAGAAAGAACCCTTATATATTCCCAGGTACACGATTTGTAACTTAGAAAAATTTAGAAATAAAATTGTTTACATTTACATGGATGGTAATTCAGAAACTCAGAGAAAAACAAAACTTGTGTTTCTCCTAAAATACAAAAAGAAGAAAGGTATTGTGTTCCCTCATGTTTATCAAGTTAAAATGGCAGGCAAAACAATTTTATTGCATGTCTTATAAGCGTCATACGTTAACCAGCTACAAATCTAGATCACACTGCCAGATATATTTGTATTGTCATTCTAGCATACTGTAGAGTCGATCACTTACTTCACTTCTGCAAGTGTAGTTGTAATGCATTTAGATTCTTGAATGTTGTTGTGCATACACAGTTCAGATTTCAGACATCAGTAGCCTAAATTCTCACTCACAAGTTAAGCAGTAACACGTTTTACTTAATATATATATATCAAAATGGCATAACAATGACTTCTTGTTACCTAACATTCAGAGACATGTCATGGTGTCTAACATTTGCTATACCAAGTTTATAACTTCTATAATGTTATAGTTCAAGTAAAGTACCACTTAAACAAAGACTCATTGGATGAAGACTGTTTGAATAAATTGTTTTGTTAATTTTCGTTTTAGTCAGTCACACGTTTGGGTACTTGTGAATCTTCTAAACATTGTTACAGGCCAATCAATGTACTGCTGTAGAATGTCTCGATTCTTAAATTGGTTGTTGGAGAATCCTAATAAAGCTACTGGGCTACAGTAAATGGTGCATTCTAATAATCCGCTCACCCCAATTTTTTATATCACAGGTTTTTTATTTTTCCTTTGACGACGACTAAGTTAATGTGGACTTGACTCAAATGAACCAAAGTGGTGTTGTAGTTTGTTCTTATAGTTACTTTTCAAAGTAATGAAATTTACAATTTAGTATAACATTCTCTTCAATGGTTCAATGCCAGAAAGAGAGAACTATGCCAACTGCTTTTGCTGATAATAGTAATGGACTTAAAGCCCATTTGTAGTTTTACCAAAGACCTTTACTGCTATTGTTATGTTTCCTTTTTTATTTTTATAACTATTTTCATTTTAGCAATCTAAGCAAATCGTTAGAAACCTAATTTGAAACAAACCAAACCTAGCACCTTATGTATATTGGTGTGTGCATTTACAGAAACTAATGGCATCACTGTACTTTTTTTGTAAAACAAATGATTGTGGTTAGTAACATACACAGAATTCTGAAACGTGACTATTTTAATTGGCAGTTGTCTAGAGTAAAGGAATTTCAGAAGTGAGTGAAATGTGTTAATATTCTTAAGTGGCCATATAGATGAGTACCAGTGGAGGCTGCTGAGGGGAGGACGGCTCATAATAATGGCTGGAACGGAGCGAATGGAATGGTATGTTACAATTCCGCTCCAGCCATTACCACAAGCCCATCCTCTCCAATTAAGGTGCCACCAACCTCCTGTGATGAGTACTATTTTGAAGTATGTTTTTCTTTTCACTTACAGCTAAAATCTCTTAATCAGTTTTAAATATGAATGGTTGTGCACTACTTGTATGCTGTCAGGAGTATAGAGTACACTTTGACTGTAATGTGCTTTCTTTTGTTTTCATTTGACTGGTGTTTTCTTAACATTTTCATTCACAATTTACTGCAGTCGTTGGAAAGAGGGCGATAGTGTATCATTTGTTTATTGGTTAGATATTTGAGTGAGTCATTATTGATGGGTGAAATGACAGGGAAAACATGATTTATTTAAACCAGCATGTGGCAGATACAGACGTGAGTAGGTTTAAGGAGCAACTCTTATCACTCATACGTTCTTGGTCCTTAAGCCCTCTTCAATGTGGCATACTTTAAGTATAAATCTCCCTTTTACACTGAATAAGAAAAACGTAAGCTCATATTTTATAAATATGGCTCTAAATCGTTCAATGTTATGGCCATATTAAACTAATGTTCTTTACTATGGACCAATTTCATTTTTGAATAAATCTGTGCCTTTGATGTTAAAATGTCATTTTAACTGGCATTTGAAGAGTATTGCTCTTAATTTGAGGGTACATTGTTATATTACAGGAAAACTGAAACTATCCAAATTCTAGTGCCTTTAGATGATTGTATGGACCATAATCTCCCCAATTAAAATCTGTGGTGGATACCACTCATGATTTGATTGTTTGATATTATCACTTAAAATGATTCTCTTGAGTGGTAAAATTTGCTTTGTCGCTCGGAAAAGTTAAGAATGCAGTGTAAAGAGCTAGAATTCGCAATTGATCAGAGAAGGGCCGTTTTTAATCAGATTGTATGTTTTGTAAGGGAGGCTTAGGGCAACCTTAGAATGATTAATACTGCTTCTTCATCTCAGTCTGTATTTGCCATAGTCTTCATAACATGCCACAATACCTACCACCAATAAATATGATTCAGTCTGTACTCAACTTTATTGGCACAAGAAAAAACTGATAATTACTGTTAAAGAAAAGCACCAAGTAGAACTCATTTGTTTTGTAAATTAAATGTAATTGAGATGTAACATAATGCTCTGCAGTGGATTAGCATAATCTATTTTGCATTCTTGTGAAGTGTTTGTTTCTTTGTTTTGTTTATTAATATTGTGATCATGGAACCGGAAGATTTTATGCAATCTTGTACATGCATAAATATAATGTATGACACTGTTCAAATTTAGTATGGAAAAATGCCTATTGCAGCATAGAACTTTTGTAAAAACAAATTTAATTGTTACCACTTGTTCCCAATAGTTAATTTCAATATGTTAATTTAACATGGAAACCCTGAAATATTGAATGTACCGTTCTAAATTATAAATTTAATAGGTCACTGGAATAATATGGAGAGCAGTTCATCCATTAGCTATGATGTAGCATCTAGTTTTGTGAATTGCTATACAATGAAATAAATTTAAGAGACTTAAACACATGCAGTTTTCCGGTCTGTATTTATCAGTGTAATGATTAAGGGGGGGGGGGGAGACATTTATTTTCTCAGGGTTTTACAGTTAAGACTGTAGGATAAAGCAAGGTTCTTTAATTGTGAACTAGTTTGTAGATGTATTTACGCTGATGTCGATGGAAGTAGACATTTGTATTACGAATGCGAAACATGTCCCTTATTTTGATACAATAAAGTATGGACAAATGACATTGTATATTGAATTAGTATTCAATTACCCCATAGAAATGATTATATCAATGGGAGTTCCCCAGTGTTAAAGTTGATCCTCTTTATGGAATCAAAGATGGGCTCCCGAGTGGCGCAGCGGTCTAAGGCACTGCATCTCAACTGTATCACAACCGGCCGTGATTGGGAGTCCCATAGGGCGGCGCACAATTGGCCCAGCGTCGTCCGGGTTTGGCCATCATTGTAAATAAGAATTTGTTCTTAACTGACTTGCCTAGTTAAATAAAGAAAATCAAAATAGGCCTGATTTTGGCTTTTTACTCTAATTTAGTAGAAGGTATTAATGAATCTTTGTACTGCAACATTATGCAATGGTTGACAGAATTCCCTATTTTTATCATCTTGGGAATTAAAACAATTTTTGATCTTAAACGTGTTGTGCATTTGTTTAATGCATTTAAAACAAGGTAGTAATAAAGGTATGTACTTCTAGGTCACTACACTCCAACGATGAATGCCTCCTGACAAGTATAATCTTGCAATAACTAAAACATGAAACAGCATTTTTTTACGTATTTATTTTCTTCACATGAAAATACCCTTGTTTTCACTTTTGGGGGGGTGGTGGGGGGAATTAAAGGTTCCTTACAACAACCAATTAAAGATTAAAATAAATATTTTCTTTATATAGTATTGGAATGTATCAAATGGATTAACATCAAAGAGTGGTACAGAATTCCACAAAATAGGTTGACCCTCCTGGTAATGCTCTATAGCATTTGGGTTCCCTCAGATTGCTGTGGTACAATGACATGATGACTATCAGGAGACAGGACATCAAATAGATAGCACAGCAGCTGCACTGCCTAGAGCCAAAACAGAAGAGACATTCTCAGAGGTGCTTGTTATCAATGGTGCTTTCTTCATAGACATTCACTCACATAATCTGTTTTATCGAGGTCACTTGATCCTGTTAACTAAACCTAAGGGACCGTTTTGCCATTATTTGGTACTACAACACAAACAATGTTTCCGCAGTCAGAACAAGCTTACTTTTTTTTCAGTGCTGGGATAAATCAGCATTTTCCCCACTTTGGCAATGTTAGACCTCTCTCTGTAAATACTATAGTGCAAAAGAAATAAATCATAGCATATTTATCTATGCATTCCATTATGATGCAAAAAGAAAATGCAAAACACTATCCGGTACATGTTTGAGTAGCCTGTTTCCTTACCTTTCAAGCATGGAGTCAAAGCAGGTCACAACGTTATCTTTCTGTAGAACAACGATAAGACAAGGGCCCTCGGGTAGAGCAGTAATCTAGAGAGGAGATGGTCAAGGCCACAGGCAGTGTTAGTCAGTGGTGGAAAATTGTACCTAATTGTCATACTTGAGTAAAAGTAAAGATACCTTAATAGAAAATGACTCAAGTGAAAGTCACCCAGTAAAATATTACTTGAGTAAAAGTATTTGGTTTGAAATATACTTAAGTATCAAAAGTAAATGTAATTGCCAAAATATACTTAAGTATCAAAAGTATAAATCATTTCACATTCCTTATATTAAGCAAACCAGACAGCACGATTTTATTGTTTTATTTATTTATGGAGAGCCAGTGGCACACTCCAACACTCAGACATCTTTTACAAACAAAGCATGTGTGTTTAGTGAGTCTGCCAGTAGTAGGGATGACCAGGGATGTTCTCTTGATAAGTTTGTGAATTGGACCATTTTATTGTCCTGCTAAGCATTCGAAATGTAACGAGTACTTTTGAATGTCAGGGAAAATGTATGGAGTAAAAAGTACATTATTTTCTTTAGGAATGTAGTGAAGTAAAAGTAGTCAAACATAAATAGTAAAGTACAGATAACCCAAAAAACTACTTAAGTACTTTACACCACTAGTTACAGTGAGTGACCACTGCATGCTGCTATTGAGTAACTATCAAACTCCCTCTACATAGCAGACCTCCACTCCTCACCTTCCCATCCCTCTCAGAGGGTCGCATCAGTGTCTCAGCGATGTGACATCTCTGGGTCTCGTCCAGGACACTCATCCTCCCGGCCACCAGGTGGCAGCCTCTCCCCAGCAACTGCTCAAGCAGGTCCAGGTGGAGGGGGGCTGGGCCCAGACGCAGCACACTGGAGGGCAGCAGCAGGCAGGTGGTTTGGCAGAGAGCGCTGCGGACCAAGGGCCCTGCTGCCACCCACATACAAACAGCCACGTTTACAAAGTTCAATTGCTGTTGATACCACATCAACTAAACACAACAACAGTTGCCCCAGACCAATCATAGGCAACGTCCCAATAAAAAGTCAATGATTAAGGGACCTGTTTTGTATCCACATAAATGTAGTAAATAAGCAATTTAACAACAAAGATTCAGCGAGGCTAAAACATTCAAAACTAGACCTCACCTCCATTCAGTCCAGATGCCATAAGGCGTGATAAAGATGGCTTGTTCACAGCAGCAAGACTGTGGCTCTGTTCACGGGCCAGACAAGCCAAAGGGTCTGAGTGTACACTGGGTATCTGTGATACAGAACAGTGAGTGACACAACAGACAAAATGTGTTGCTTATTAAACACAGGGCCTATGAGACGGCTATACGTCTAGGAATAGTAAATCATGTCTAATGTAGCACTGTGTGATGTACCTGCTCCTGTCTCATGGTGATGGTCTCTGTGCAGCATAGGCCCTCAGGGAACAGCCTCTTCACATCCTGAACAGCTCTCTGATAGCTCCTCGATCCTACAACATAGTATTATATAATTCATTATGAGCTACTAACATTATTTTTTTATTTTAAAACCTTATTCCAAAGCCAGTCTCAACCACTCTGTAACTGATTGATCTATGTTGTCTGGCAGGGCCTGGAAGGTGGCCCAGTATCGTGCGGGGGCGAGGGGCACTGACCATAGATGCCACTGTGTAGCTGGTTCGAGCTGTAACAGGCCCTCCAGAGGAATTGGTCCAGAGCGCGGGCCTGGGCAGGGTCCTCAGGCCCCAGCACATCCAGTAGCCTCTTCACAGCGTTCTCCCTCTGCAGGCACAGAGCCAGGGAAGGCCCAGAGCTCATGTACTGGACATGGGCTTCTACAGCAGAGGGATCCTAGAGGAAAACACAACAGGAAAAATGAGCTGAACCAATGCATTTAAAACAATGTAACAATCTGTCCACTGGCCTGGTTTAGATAGGTAGGAGTAAGTGAGTTGCCTGATGCTCTGCAGCAGACACCAGAGACACAGCTGTGTTTGTGTCCAGAACCAGCACACGCAGGCCCACTACAGTGAAACCACTCCGCTGGACTTTGCTGAGGATTTTCCCCAGAGCATGGCTCCACACTCCAGGCTTGAACAGACAGTGTGACCAGCGGCTGGGGGCCTGATGGAAACAGACAAGACTGGCAAATAGGGTGCTTACATATTTTCTTTTGTACCATTGTTGAAGTAATCGACTTTGCAAGTAACCAATGTTTAATAAAACGTCCTACATTACATCATGTTATTTAAAGTTCAAAGTTCATACAAATAAACCTGTTTCCAAACTCACCCTGCACCATGCAGTTCAACAATGACTCACACTGGGAACCTGTAAGGAACATTAAACACAAGTCAGAATGGAGGTGGGTGAGAGGCAGTTGTTTGAATGTGACCCAGTGATACATACCAGCTACATTGATGCAAGGTGGGGGTAGGAACTTCAGTAATGGGCGCACACTGATCTGAAGATGAGAGAAAATCCACATAGATCCAGCTATCCTTGACATAATTACCCCAGATATAGGGTAGTAGAGAAATAGTACATAGCTTGCACTGACTGTAGTTTTTACCTGGGATCATCTCTCCGTGGGAGAAGAAGAGGGATGCTTGTCTGAAGGCCAGTTCAGGAGTGGGAGACATCAGTATGTTCAGGTTCCCGGTGTAGTCCCGTGGCAGGAGCCGCCGTAGGGTGGCGAAGGCGTCCACCCTACTCAGGGCACACACCAGGGCAGGGGAGGAGGCCAGACCCACCAGGCTGCTCTGCCACAGCCGGTCACCTACCTCATAGGGGCTCACCTCCCGCGCCTGCTCCCGGGACAATGTGGGCAGCCATTTCAGGGCCAGCAGCTCGAATCCATCCTCCCAAACTTCGCCTGATGGAGAAACAGGGTAGAAAGGATAGAAACATAGGGCAAGGTTAGGTAGGTGAGGAGTTCAGTGCTACAGCTGAATTGCAAGTACAATATTGGTATTATTAATAATATTAAGCATTTTAAATATATTTCAAATATTTCATTACATGGACTGTGTTGTGGGAATGGTTAATGTAAGTAAAGTACCTGTTGTGTCCCCTGTCAGGAGCCTGTGTAGCAGGGTTCAAGCCCTGACCAATGTCCCTGCCAGCTAGGGTAAGAACCACCCCCTGCTCCAGCTCTGGGTTGGATGGACACCTGTATTTGGACAGCACCACACTGCAGGGGTCTGGTACCGCCCACATACGCCCACCTGAGAACCAAGCGTAAACAGCAACTCAATCAGACCAGGAAGCCAAAGAGGGGTCATCATTGACAGACTGTGTTAACTCTTCCCTTACCAATGCTATGGAGCAGGCTCTCACTGTAGGGCAACATGTGAAAGCAGCTGCTCGGGTCCAGCTTTCCTTCATCTGACAGTCTAATGTGGATACATCCCAACAACCTCTGCTCCTCCAACTCTTTCACAAGGGCTGACAAAAAGAGGAATCAGTGTCAATATACTGAACATTGATGTCACAAGCTCAAATGCCTCTACAATGCCTCCCGGCTTCAAATGGGAAGACATGTTCTTTATACACTGAGTATACAAAACATTAGGAACACCTGCACTTTCCCATGACATAGACTGACCAGGTGAATCCAGGTGAAAGCTATGATCCCTTATTGATGTCACCTGTTAAATCTACTTCAATCAGTGTAGATGAAGGGGAGGAGACAGGTTAAAGAAGGATTTTTAAGCCTTGAGACATGGATTGTGTATGTGTGCCATTCAGAGGGTGAATGGGCAAGACAAAATATGTAAGTGCCTTTGAACGGGGTATGGTAGTAGGTGCCAGGCTTGAGTGTGTCAAGAACTGCAACGCTGGTGGGTTTTTCACGCTCAACAGTTTCCCGTGTGTATCAAAAATGGTCCACCACCCAAACGACATCCAGCCAACTTGACACAACTGTGGGAAGCATTGGCGTAAACATGGGCCAGCATACTCTGGAACGCTTTCAACACCTTGTAGTCCATGCCCCGACAAATTGAGGCTGTTCTGAGGGCAAAAGGGTTGCAACTCAATATTAGGAAGTTGTTCCTAATGTTTTGTACACTCAGTGTACTTTTGAGGTGATAGAAACAGAGCAATATTAGGTATTACAGGGTTAAGTGCTGTACCTGCAGGCAGGCTGGCACAGTGACGCAGGCCACTCTCTCTCCTCAAACGTAAGACCAGGCAGTGGGGGGACAGCTCAACCTTCTCCTCATCCACAGTAACAGTGGGCGGACTGCAGAACACTGACACCTTGTCAAACAGAAAGACTAGCTTTAAGACAGGGCAAAGTCAACATTGAACTCGCCAGTTCCTCTCAGGTGCTCTGCTGTCAATTCAGTGTGGTGTGTCTGATCTGGAGACAGTGTGGTGGAGGTGGGGTCGTTACCTGCTGACTGGTGAGTCCTAGCGCCTGGGTTCGTTTGGTGGGGAGCTGCAGCCTCTGGACCCCCCTCAGACTAAACCCTCTGCCCTCACACACAGACAGAACCTGGCTGTAGCAGCATGACGCCACCGCTGGAGAAACTACCAGGAACACGTCCACTATGAGGTGGGGAGGGAAAAGGCAGATCCACAGTAAGACATTTTGAAACTTCCAATTACTGTACTTGGGATCTAGACTAGAGTAAAGCATTAAGCCATAATTCTGATATTGTTGACCTCAAGTGTGTACTTGTTTCTGAGTTACCTTTAACAGTAGCACACAGGGTGGTAGAGGACCTGGTTATATACAAGGGGCTGCTTCCCTCTCCATCACCAGGGGCAGAGCTGAGAGTGTTGGAAGAAAATCATGTTTTTTGTGTAATACTTTGACTACTGTGCGTGTGTGTGTGTGTGTATATAAAGTACCAGTCAAAATGTTTTGGACACACCTACTCATTCAAGGGTTTTTCTTTATTTGTACTATTTTATACATTGTAGAATAATAGTGAACACATCAAAACTATGAAATAACACATATATGGAATCATGTAGTAACCAAAAAAGTGTTAAACAAATCAAAATATATTTTATATTTTATATTCTTCAAATAGCCACCCTATGCCTTGATGACAGCTTTGCACACTCTTGCCATTTTCTCAACCAGCTTCACCTGGAATGCTTTTCCAACAGTCTTGAAGGAGTTCCCACATATGCTGAGCACTTGTTGGCTGCTTTTCCTTCACTCTGCCGTCCGACTCATCCCAGCACTGTGTTGGGTCATTGTCCTGTTGAAAAACAAATGATAGTCCCACTAAGCCCAAACCAGATGGAATGGCGTATCGCTACAGAATGCTGTGGTAGCCATGCTGGTTAAGTGTGCCTTGAATTCGAAATAAATCCCAGACAGTGTCACCAGCAAAGCACCCCCACACCATAACACCTCCTCCTCCATGTTTTACGGTGGGAACTACACATGCGGAGATAATCCGTTCACCCACACCGCGTCTCACAAAGACATGGCGGTTTGAACCAAAATTCTCAAATTTGGACTCCAGACCAAAGGACTAATATCCATTGCTCGTGTTTCTTGGCCCAAGCGAGTCTCTTCTTCTTATTGGTGTCCTTTAGTAGTGGTTTCTTTGCAGCAATTCGACCATGAAGGCCTGATTCACAGTCCCCTCTGAACAGTTGATGTTGAGATGTGTCTGTTACTTGAACTCTGTGAAGCATTTATTTGGGCTGCAATTTCTGAGGCTGGTAACTCTAACGAACCATCCTGCAGAAGAGGTAACTCTTGGTCTTCCATTCCTGTGGCAGTCCTCATGAAGACATGAAGTCAGTTTCATCATAGCGCTTGATGGTTTTTGCGACTGCACTTGAAGAAACTTTCAAAGTTCTTGAAATGTTCCGTATTGACTGACCTTCATGTCTTAAAGTAATGATGGACTGTCGTTTCTCTTTGCTTATTTGAGCTGTTCTTGCCATAATATGGACTTGGTCTTTTACCAAATAGGGCTATCTTCTGTATACCCCACTACCTTGTCACAAAATAACTGATTGGCTCAAACTCAATAAGAAGGAAAGAAATTCCACAAATTAACTTTTAAGAAGGCACACCTGTTAATTGAAATGCATTCCAGGTGACTACCTCAAGAATCTGGTTGAGAGAATGCCAAGAGTGTGCAAAGCTGTCATCAAGGCAAAGGGTGGCTATTAGAAGAATCGAAATATAAAATATATTTTCATTTGTTTAACACTTTTCTGGTTACTTCATGATTCCATATCTGTTATTTCATAGTTCTGATGTCTTCACTATTATTCTACAATGTAATTTTTTTTTTTTTATAAAGAAAATCCTTGAATGAGTAGGTGTGTCCAAACCTTTGACTAGTAGTGTGTGTGTGTATATATATACAGTGGGGAGAACAAGTATTTGATACACTGCCGATTTTGCAGGTTTTCCTACTTACAAAGCATGTAGAGGTCTGTAACTTTTATCATAGGTACACTTCAACTGTGAGAGACAGAATCTAAAACAAAAATCCAGAAAATCACATTGTATGATTTTTAAGTAATGAATTTACATTTTATTGCATGACATAAGTATTTGTTCACCTACCAAAGAGTAAGAATTCCGGCTCTTACAGACCTGTTAGTTTTTCTTTAAGAAGCCCTCCTGTTCTCCACTCATTACCTGTATTAACTGCACCTGTTTGAACTCGTTACCTGTATAAAAGACACCTGTCCACACACTCAATCAAACAGACTCCAACCTCTCCACAATGGCCAAGAGCTGTGTAAGGACATCAGGGATAAAATTGTAGACCCGCACAAGGCTGGGATGGGCTACAGGACAATAGGCAAGCAGCTTGGTGAGAAGGCAACAACTGTTGGCGCAATTAATAGAAAATGGAAGAAGTTCAAGATGACGGTCAATCACCCTCGGTCTGGGGCTCCATGCAAGATCTCACCTCGTGGGGCATCAATGATCATGAGGAAGGTGAGGGATCAGCCCAGAACTACACGGCAGGACCTGGTCAATGACCTGAAGAGAGCTGGGACCACAGTCTCAAAGAAAACCATTAGTAACACACTACGCTGTCATGGATTAAAATCCTGCAGCGCACGCAAGGTCCCCCTGCTCAAGCCAGCGCATGTCCAGGCCCGTCTGACGTTTGCCAATGACCATCTGGATGATCCAGAGGAGGAATGGGAGAAGGTCATGTGGTCTGATGAGACAAAAATATAGCTTTTTTGTCTAAACTCCACTCGCCGTGTTTGGAGGAAGAAGAAGGATGAGTACAACCCCAAGAACACCATCCCAACCGTGAAGCATGGAGGTGGAAACATCATTCTTTGGGGATGCTTTTCTGCAAAGGGGACAGGACGACTGCACCGTATTGAGGGGAGGATGGATGGGGCCATGTATCGCGAGATCTTGGCCAACAACCTCCTTCCCTCAGTAAGTGCATTGAAGATGGGTCGTGGCTGGGTCTTCCAGCATGACAACGACCCGAAACACACAGCCAGGGCAACTAAGGAGTGGCTCCGTAAGAAGCATCTCAAGGTCCTGGAGTGGCCTAGACAGTCTCCAGACCTGAACCCAATAGAAAATCTTTGGAGGGAGCTGAAAGTCGGTATTGCCCAGCCCCGAAACCTGAAGGATCTGGAGAAGGTCTGTATGGAGGAGTGAGCCAAAATCCCTGCTGCAGTGTGTGCAAACCTGGTCAAGACCTACAGGAAACGTATGATCTCTGTAATTGCAAACAAAGGTTTCTGTACCAAATATTAAGTTCTGCTTTTCTGATGTATCAAATACTTATGTCTTGCAATAAAATGCAAATTAATTACTTAAAAATCATACAAATGTGATTGACAGGTTTCGAGGCTGTCGCTGGGCAATACGGACTTTCAGCTCCCTCCAAAGATTTTCTATTGGGTTCAGGTCTGGAGACTGGCTAGGCCACTCCAGGACCTTGAGATGCTTCTTACGGAGCCACTCCTTAGTTGCCCTGGCTGTGTGTTTCGGGTCGTTGTCATGCTGGAAGACCCAGCCACGACCCATCTTTCAATGCTCTTACTGAGGGAAGGAGGTTGTTGGCCAAGATCTCGCAATACATGGCCCCATCCATCCTCCCCTCAATACGGTGCAGTCGTCCTGTCCCCTTTGCAGAAAAGCATCCCCAAAGAATGATGTTTCCACCTCCATGCTTCACGGTTAGGATGGTGTTCTTGGGGTTGTACTCATCCTTCTTCTTCCTCCAAACACGGCGAGAGGAGTTTAGACCAAAAAGCTCTATTTTTGTCTCATCAGACCACATGACCTTCTCCCATTCCTCTGGATCATCCAGATGGTCATTGGCAAACTTCAGACGGGCCTGGACATGAGCTGGCTTGAGCAGGGGGACCTTGCGTGCGCTGCAGGATTTTAATCCATGACGGCGTAGTGTGTTACTAATGGTTTTCTTTGAGACTGTGGTCCCAGCTCTCTTCAGGTCATTGACCAGGTCCTGCCGTGTAGTTCTGGGCTGATCCCTCACCTTCCTCATGATCATTGATGCCCCACGAGGTGAGATCTTGCATGGAGCCCCAGACCGAGGATGATTGACCGTCATCTTGAACTTCTTCCATTTTCTAATAATTGCGCCAACAGTTGTTGCCTTCTCACCAAGCTGCTTGACAATTGTCCTGTAGCCCATCCCAGCCTTGTGCAGGTCTACAATTGTATCCCTGATGTCCTTACACAGCTCTCTGGTCTTGGCCATTGTGGAGAGGTTGGAGTCTGTTTGATTGAGTGTGTGGACAGGTGTCTATTATACAGGTAACGAGTTCAAACAGGTGCAGTTAATACAGGTAATGAGTGGAGAACAGAAGTGCTTCTTAAAGAAAAACTAACAGGTCTGTGAGAGCCGGAATTCTTACTGGTTGGTAGGTGATCAAATACTTATGTCATGCAATAAAATGCAAATTAATTACTTAAAAATCATACAATGTGATTTTCTGGATTGTTGTTTTAGATTCCGTCTCTCACAGTTGAAGTGTACCTATGAAAAAAATTACAGACCTCTACATGCTTTATAAGTAGGAAAACCTGCAAAATCGGCAGTGTATCAAATATTTGTTCTCCCCACTGTATATAGCCCAATAAGATGATTTTTTTTTTATAACAGATACAAATGTATCAATCAATGTTTACTTAGTAAACCTTCAGTCTCTTGACCGTCCATCTACTAATGATGATTAATAATGTTGTTTAAAAAAAAGAAAATGTTGTTGTTGCTTTACAACGCTTTGAGATTATTTATGTAAGGTATAGCGCTATAAAAGTTAAATAAATTATTATTATTAGTGGTGATATGTTTGTTTTTCTATTTGTAATGTTTAAGTGATGGTTGTGGGACATCATGATGGCTCTGGACTACAAACACACCTGTCAGTTGGAGCCTGGTCAGGGTTCTGGGAGTTATCTCCTGGAACTGTCCTTGCGAACCACGTGACCAGTTCCCTGTGCACTCTGCTGGCCAGGCGAGGGGAGTAGAGGAGGGTCAAGTTCTTGCTGCTGCAGTGCAGGGCGTTGATGGATGCTGGGTCTGTCTTCCTAGCCAGCAGGGGGTCTGAAGGGCCTGTTACATCCTGCCACACGGTGCGGGCGTGAGGCCCTCGGACAGCTAGGGCAAGGACGGGCCGATCGGCCCCATCATCTCCCTCCCCGTAGGATACCCTGCCTGAATCAGAGACAGACTTACTATAACTTACTGAATAATTCCAGTCTAGGCCACTGAAGATCTGCAGACTAGATAAGAATATAACAGAATATAAGTTTATTTGTTGACATAAGTTTTACCGGTGCTGTTGGTCAGAAGGCCAGGAGGAGGGTAAAGGAGGCGGAGGCCACACACATCCAGGCCTGAGTTGAGGAGAAGCTGGAGGGTGTGGTGAACCACCAGGGGATGCAGGAACAAAGACATGTATCCCAGAGTAACAGCTATCTGTGAGAAGAAGAAGAAAAAAACGGTATGCTTGATTTCCTCATTCTATACCAACAGTCATGATCATGGGGTATTAACACTGAGGTTAGATGATACCAAGGAGCTTTGGAACAGCTGAGACATACCACAACTTAAGATGTTCTTACCTCTGTGTGTAGCTGCTGAGTGCACATGGTCTCAGGCCTCTGACAACCGAGTTCCTGAGTCTCCACAGTCTGCCAGTAGAAGCCTGGGTTCAGACCAAAGGTCCTCTTCACAGCCTGAGACACAGGGCAAAGATACAGCACATTACAGGGAACACTTCCACATCATTAAGTCAATCTCAGATTCTAAGCATTCACCTGTACCTACTACCTACCATTTTGTCTGAGTTGACAGAGATAAAGCTGTCCAGGCAGGAGGCAGGTATGTGGACGGTTGGGGGATAGGCCTGTTGGTCTAATAGGCTCCTGAGCTGTGGCAGCCAATGGGTGATGGCGCTGAGGGAGGTCTGAGAGAGGAACCTGCAGACACGCTGCTGGAACACCGGCAGCGTGTCTGCAGGTGTTGGAGGAAGGAAAATCACTTAATTACAGAAAAGGTGGTGGAGGAACAGAGGAACTGTTTGGGTGCATTCACATAGAATTAGGAATTTGAATACTACTACTAATAATAAGGAATTTAAAAGGATCTCTATGTGCATTCATCAACCCGGGGTTGTCGGCCAAGTTGTAGGCTCTCTCCATGGGACACAGCACAGATGTGTAGAGCCAGCCCATCCTCTGTCCACAGCTGCTGTAGGCCAGCCACCCAGAAGGGTACAGCACCCCTGTCATCACCACCTTGAGGACCTGGTGCTCCAACCTACCAAACACAAGTTAGAGGCCTCAGTAAAATATGAACTCCATCACAAACAGAGTAAAACTAATCAGATGATCTCAGTTCAATGATCTTGACAAGAACTAGTCAAATAAATATTCACCAAAGACAGAAACCAAGCAACCAGAGCATTGTATATATGGGATTTGGTTGTGGCTGACTCCACTGTTGGTGCTTTCCAATGATGACCGCTGCTGGCTACCAGGCCTGGACTGGAGAGGCATACAGTCAGCAGCAAGCACTCCTTATCCTCCATATCAGCAGGCAGAGTGTTAACTGACTGTAGGTGAGAGGCCTCCTGATGAAAAAAGAACAAAAAATATGAAATATGTAGGTGTACCTCTCAATTTATCAAATGGCACTGGGGGATGAAAATGACAAAGAAGATGGAGTGGAAATCTATTGATTTGGGAGCACTGAGTCTGTCTGTTCCAGATGAACTTACAGTGTCATAAAGAACATCAGTCTTCTCAGCGGCAGGCTCCCTGTCTCCTGCAGACCTGGTTGGTCTAAAGCTTTCCAGATGTTTCTGGAGCTGCTGCTCTCTGTTTCTGTTGCTCTCTCTGCTCTTGGTCACTGACAGGTCACAAAACAGGTGTTCAGCCATCAGTGGAGGCTGCTGAGGGGAGGACGGCTCAAAAGAATGTCTGGAACGGAGCGAATGGAATAGCATCAAACCATGTGTTTGATGTACAGTATTTGATACCATTCCACTCCAGCCTTTAGCATGAGCCCATCCTCCCCAATTAAGGTGCCACCAACCTCCTGTGTCAGCTACTGTGACTAAAATTTAAGATACAGTATATGAGACAAAGTCCCCAAATCCCCTAAAATGAATATCTTATCTACCTTTGTTTCTTTGGCTGCCCGGTAGTAGCACTCTGCTGAATAGCAGGTGTTCTCTCAACTGGCAGCCTGTTTTGGTCATGCTGCATTGTGAGAGATGTGGTTTGGTTGTCCACCTCTGGAAGCAGAGATGTTTTCTCATTGTTAGCCTCAGTTAGCTTGTCCTTCAAGGCCACTCTTCTGGGGGTTCTGCATGTAGAATCTGCTGGAACTGGATCTTTCCTGTCTGGCTCACTCCTGTTTCTGTTCACCTCGCGTAACATTCTGAGTAACAGGCTCTTTCCAGTTACTTCCCTGGGAGAAGAAAAAACACCAACATGAACTCATGAAGGAGTTAAACTGAATTCATAGTTCACAGCCACAGAGCCATTATAGTATATTTACAAAGCTATGTAATAATGTTTTGAGCTTTACAGTGGGTCTGTTATTCAAGGCAATATTTACTCTTTTCCATTCACTAATCCAGACCGTATATTACTGTCTGTTTTCTCATCAGATGGGTTTTCGTCGTGTAGGTTAGGGTTGGTCAGTTTCATGGATTGTGATGAAGTGCTGTTGCATGGTCTGGTTGTTTTCGTGGGAGGCTCAGGGTTACGCAAATCAATATAAACAGTGGGCACTTCCTGACGGCTTGGCTGCAACTCAAATGCCATCCTTTTGAAATACTTTCTCCATCCACCATTTTGTCTGGACAGTAAACAAAACGTTCATGTTAACTCATGACATTATTCATACTCGTGAAACCCACACAACTTTATCATATATTTTACCTGAAATCGGTAGGATGTTGGACAGGTGCTTTCTGAGGCCCACCAGAAGTTTTATCTGGTGCAGTTTTTATTTTATCTTCATCATCTGTGAAGCAGACTGCTTTCTGTCCTGCAGAAAGCAGCCAGCCTCTCCAATATATTATCCTGTGACCTTACATTGTCTCCATCTGTGACCAAATTGAGAATGAATTGATTATATCATTATGATAATAGCATTGAGTGTGAATGACATGCTAGGTTCATAATGGTTTCAGCAGTAGCTATATCAGTGATACCGTAGAGTTACCCTATTGTCTACCTGGTTGTACTTCCATAGGTTCATCTGACACACTGCTTCCTAAAAAGAGCCTATCTGTTTGAAGAGTCAGAAGAATCTGGTCCAGATCCCAGTGCTCCAGTGGCTGGTAAAAACACAAAGGCACGGATTTGTAGGACATAAAACTTGATCAGTATCTATCTAACTGCAGAATGAAAATGACCAGAGGTGAACAAATAAATTAGTTATTATGTAGTACCTTCTCATGGTAAAATTGCCTATTTATAATAGCAAACTTAAACTCACCTCAAAAGACAAAACCGTTTTACTATTTTGTAGTGGCTTTTTCATAGAGCCATTTGGTTCAGTTCTCTGTGTCTTTCTCAAAGCATTGAGTGACTCCAATGTGTTTTCTTCACAAGCCGCGTTATGTGAAGGGTGTGGCGATGTGGACTCAGTTGTTTTTTGTCTGTTTAGTGTGCCATGGCTATGGTGCGCTGAGGTGTCCCCTTTCATCTCCACAGGAATGATGCTGCATGGATGGCCTCCTGCCTGAGCTGCATTTCTAATAGAGTCGTGGCTGCATATCTCATTTACCTTATTACCTATGGGGCTGGGCTCCTGGTGTGTGCCCTGCTGGGCTAAATCGGTGGCTTGATAAGCTCCATGGGTTTCAGTTGTAGGCTCTCTATGAGGGCAAAGGGTCTCCTCTGTCCAACACAGTTGTGGCTGTGCCACAGATATTAGCAGCTCCTGTTTGGGATACACACACACAGTAACCTTGTCAAGGACTCGTCATCAATAGTTGTAAACTTGCTCAGCTAGCTAGCTACTTACCTCTATTTCAGAGTCCTCCAATGACAGGCACTCTAGGCCCTCTGTGTGTTTAGGAAGAAGGGCTACTGGTCGGCGAAAGATGGGTATGTCCTCTTCATTTTCGGACTGAAGAGTAAGATTAGACTCAATTCAGCTAACGTTTGATACATTTAGCTAGATTTACTCTGGCAAATACAATTCAAAAACAAATAAACACAACGCTAGTAGAATAGCAAGTAAGTAGCAAAGTTCATCCAAATTAAGGGCTTTTCATAGGGCCAGCTAGCTAACGTTGTCTTACTACTGCACTTGTTGTTAGCTAGCTAACGTTAGCTAAGTGCAGTAAATCAAACTCACTGATGAAGAATCCGAATCAATGGACGGAATATGGGGTTTGAAGCTGTCAAAAAGAGCATTCCAATGCGTTGAAGGATCCGTGTCCATGTTGACATAAACTAATGCATCTATAATAATCAAGATAGACCACTCTCATGTGAAAGCAGTAGCAGTCAGCTACACTAATAGCTAAAGTTAGATAGCTGCTAACAACAACTGGCAAACTGTTGGTTACCATAACAACTGAACTACAGGAGTGAGGAGCACATATGGAGGACGACGTGTTGCAGTGCAGAAGGTGATGGGACATGGGGAAAGATGGTCAACATCTCAACATCTGTGATGCGACTGCGAGCTAAGTAATGTAATGAACCGTTCAAGTTCTGCGGTCTATGAATCCTGCAGTCAGAGCTGTGTTGGAAGTGTGCTGCTGTAAAATTGCTCCTGCCGACTTCTTGAAAAGGAAAACTTTATAGTGTCATTATAATTTATGTAGGCCTAAAGGTTTATTTCTCCCTCTGCTTAGAGGTCTGGACCATTATGGTACTGGACGAAGTGTTTGCCATGTGTACACAAATATCCCTCTGGCCCCTCAATAGCTGGGCCTCTGCACCTTTAACTGGTAAAGGCTGATATTGTTTACCTAGGGCCTATATCTATATTTGGTTGTGTAGAGGACAAAAACAAACATGACTTGTGTTTATTCAACGGATGAGTTTAATAGTCACCCCAAAAGTGGACTACTTCGAAACATTTCCTAAAAGCTAAATGTACTGTACACTGTGTATTCTAGTAGGCTTACTTGCAATTTGTTTGTGTAATGATTTAATGAAGATGTCATGTAATATAAAACTAACTAAAAGTGTATGATGCAAAAGCTACATACTTGCAACATGTAGGGCCTAATTACCACAGTAGCAAAAATAATTTGGTACATTAGGCCTACATATTTTGAGAATTAATTAATATAGGCTAAATCATTGAATGTACAGGGAAAATTGTAGGCTAATAACAATGATTTTGAAATGATTGTATTCCAAATGTCTGGCGTCTTTGACCCCATAGATCCTTCCCTCAGCAGTTGTTGAAATGTTTGTTGCTGATATCCCTCAGGTCATGGCCAACCAAGCCTGGAGGGCTGTTGCATGTTATATTGTTGTAGATGGTGACAACAGTGTGGGGTTCCTCTCCCTCAGCCAGAGTTTCCACTTGCCGGGGCACCGTCTGTGGTCTCCTCAAGCTGTATTCTCTGAGGGGAAGGACACTGCAGTCACACTTCCAACGGTTTCCTGTCAGCCACAGTTGGTGTAGGGTGTCTGGGATATCTGGTGGAATGCTGCTAAGAGCGTTATCTTTCAGGTTTAGATAGCGTAACCTGGGCAGCAGCTGCATGGTACCATTGTGCAGGATCTCCAGCCTGTTAGCTGAGAGGTCCAGCCACGAGAGATGCTTCAAGGGCATGAGGGCCTCAGAGGGGAGCTGACGGAACAGGTTGCCTGACAGCAGCAGATAGTCCAGGTTCTTCAGGCCGTAGAAGGTGTGGGAGGTTAGGGCCTCAAGCTTGTTGAACCTCAGATCTAGCTGTTGTAGGCCCAAGAGTTCCACGAAGCTCTGGCGCTCCACCACAGAGATGTTGTTGTTTTGGAGGAAGAGACGTCGCAGACCTGATAGTCCAATGAAAGCTTGGGTCGTGACCCTGGTCAAACAGCCCTTATCCAGGTGAAGACTGTGGAGCTTGGAGAGACCTTTGAACACTTGATCTGGAAGACTGCGGAAACAGCTGCCAGACAGGTTAATGACAGCCAGGTGAGAGAGGCCCATGAAGGTGCCCATCCGGGCCTCCTGCACCTGGTTGTGCTCCAGCTCCAGAACCTCCAGGTGCCCAAGCCCCTCAAAGATCCTGTCCCCCAAGGCCTGGATCCGGTTGTAGCTCAGACGCAGTTCCTCAAGGTACTGCAAGTCACGGAAAGTCCTGGGCCTAAGTCCACTGATGGAGTTGTTGGAGAGCCGCAGCACATGGAGGCTGTGAAGACCAAGGAAAGTCTCATCATGGAGCACTGATAGTTTATTGTTTGTGAGATCCAGCCATCTGAGGGACTTCATACCCACAAAGGCTCTGGGTACCACCGTGACTATCTGGTTCTGGGCCAGGTAAAGCTTTTGCAGTTTGGGGAGTTTCATAAACACATTAGCCTTAATGACCTTCAGGTAATTTCCGGTGAGGTCCAACTCCTTCAGCTCGGTAAGACCTTGGAAGAGTTGTGGCTGTAAGTAAGCTAGCCTATTCCCAGCCAACACCAGCTCCCTCAGGCCATGCAGGTCATGGAACCCAGTCTCAGGCAACACTGCTAATGAGTTCCACCCCAAGTTGAGAAGCCACATATGTGAGAGGCCAGCAAACAGCTTTTCCTCAATACGGGACAGTTGGTTGTTATGGAGACTAAGCGAGGCGAGGTTAGGCGTGTTCTGGAAGATGGTGCCCGGCAAAGAACGGATGCGGTTGCGCTCCAGGTGGATGTGAGCTAGCGACTTAAGCCCTCGGAACACCTGGGAGTCAAGGGACACCAGCTGACCGCTCTGTAGATTCAGAAAATCCAAGTTGCTGAGATCCTTGAAGGCGGTGGCAGTCAGAGTGGTGAACAGGTTTCCATCCAGCCAGAGGGAGCGAGTGGAGACAGGCACGTCAGAGGGGGCCTGGGTGTAGTTGCGTGCGCTGCAGTATACATTGAGCTCTAGACTGTAGTCGTCATGCAGACAGGTGCAGCCCTTGGAACAGGGAATGGGCTCCTCAGTAAGTTTCTCTCCCCCTGTGTCAGGGTCTGGCAACACCAGTGATGTCCCCAGTACCCACAACACCAGTAGCACAATGGTGTGCATAACAGCTGGGGGTAGAGAGCAGAGGGAATAAGCTCAATGTTGGTGCTCCTTATCTAAAACTACTTAATATGCTTATTCCCTTTGTAATAAACATGTATTTTCTCACATTTTAAGTCCTCTCTGAAAGCCAATCAATTAACCTATGTACTCTTTTAGATTTTAAACTGAAGATCAATAGTATAGGCAATGCCTAGGCCTATTTCCAATATTTAAAATACCAAAAAATATTTACTGCAAACATTCATTGCCAAAATATGCTAATCTATTATAAAGTGTACATTCATTTATATTATGTGTAATTTTAAAAGATGAAAGTTCAATGAATCAGAATAGTTTGCCCTACCTTAGATTTCAGCAATTTTGACTGAGGTAGACCGACAGACAGCCCACCCACTAAATGAAGGACGTGTGTATTTGTGTTTGGAAAGGCAAACCTGCCTAGTCTTTCTAGAAAAAGGTCAGACCCACTGAACTCTCAGAATTAACCTGTTCATACCCTATGACCAGCATCATCATCAGTCTTTCAATGAGACTTTGGCCTTATCTCTCTCACAAATATACTTTGTATACATATACCAATCTATCAGTATCATTTTGAGTGAACATTCTTAACTATTTGATGTTCAAGAATTTAATAATCAAAATGTATTTTTTTCCCATGACCTCAGTTACCCCTTACATAATAAAGGAAGACAAACAGACCAAAATTGGACAACATTTATCTTATCTCTCTATTGGTTCTTAGTTTTAAACTCAGATTTGTCATAGTACATAACATCATTAATACCCCTAAAAATTCATATTATATGAATGTCTACTGTACATATGGTCTGGTGGTCTGACTTTCAAGTATCCTTTGCTGTTTACTAAAGCCAGGGTCCTGTCTCTGAGTACATTTACAGTAGATTCTGACTGATACAGACAGCATGGCTGAGAGATAAGACAAACCTGGTGCAATGAACCTGTGCTGGCTGAAAAGTAGCAATGGCATTTTGAAATGTATTACAAAAAGAGATTCAACTTTGTACTTGCATTGTGCGTAAAAGCTCAGTATTAGAGTTGTTAGATCTTTTTTTGTCTGAATTTTGTCTTGATATCAGTGCACTTTAGCCAATAATTATCCCAGGTATAGGGAAATGTAGCTGTTTCTTATCTCACAGCACATATTGAGCTCAAATCTAGGGGTTTGTTTTGGTATCTGACCAATTGACCAGCAAACAGACTCTGATGTAGCTGGGTTTCGTGAACTTACTGGACTACCCAGAACCGGACATGTGCCTAAGGACGACCATATTCAGAAAAATCTAACAGAAAACGTGACAATTGGCTGGACAATCCTGGACAGACTGGCAGTTAAGAATAGACATGGGTATGTTGTGTAATGCCTTTTCTAATACTGGCAGGCATTAAATTACATTGTTTTGTCACACTGAACGTTTTAGTTGTTAAATTATATCCTAAACCTAGACTTAAGTAGGTATAGCAGGGTTTTAAGACACAATGTCATAATGTTGACACAGAACTGTCACTTTAGGCTTAGTTCTGCGTTTAGCTCACCAAGTTTCTCGTTTACATGATGTCACTGTTCCATGATAGTGAACAACATGAGACTTGCCTGAAGGTGCTAGAAAGATAAAGCATCCCTATTATTTAAGCAGTGTGTTTAATGTTTATAATTGGTGATGCTATTCACTTCTTTCACCACTAGAGAACACTGCTGCTCTGTTATCTAGGCATATGAGACATGTTGAAGGAATTCAAAAGCTCACTTTCTCTGAAAGAAAATACCCTTCAGCATACAATCCAGTTATCCCAATCTGTTTGCAGATGTTTACGTGTTTTGAGATATTGTTTTCCTTTGAATTAGTCCAAAAAGTTAGCCATCTTACCACATACACTCTGTCATGGCAATATTTCATTCAAGTTTGATTCAGAGCTTCCATTTCTGCTCTAGCAGAGGAGGCCCTTGTTTGCTACAGCGTGGTGTCAAATTACAATAATATGGAAGAACATTGTTGAGTTTTATGCTGTTAGAATGATTAATGAGCATTCGCAAAAATATATACCAGCTTATTTACTTATCCTCTTTTTAAGAAATTAAGGGAATAGGTCTCATGAAGGAGTGTAGATCCCTGTACTGGAGGGAAATCTGCCATAGTAAGTCTTTAACAATTCCTGCTCCCCAGACAAACACCTCTGATTGGCTCACTCCCCTGCACTCAACCAGACAC